AGCAGACGCTGGATGCAGAGTGATGTGGCTGTGCTTCCTGGTACTGTTTCAGAAGCTTTATTCCAGAGAGGCGAGGGTTGAGACTCCACTAAGATGTTATTGGATGCTTGTTCTTCTTGTGTCCTCAGGTACATTCTGTTAGTATAGCAATATTTAGCTTTTGATTCGCTGCCTGAAAAAGTGTTAGGACTACATTAGTCTATGATGATAGATATATTCAAACCCTCCTAATTTTTTATTGATAGCAAATCTTGTTTAATCTATTTTAGGACAGTTGGTCCTGTCTATGCCAGGATTACCATTCATTGAATGCCTTTTCAATTCCATTTTTGTTTTTGAGTTTGAACTGAATTTGAATTGAGGTTGGAAGGGAAATAGAATTAAGTCACGCCACCATTATTTATATAGTGCTTTAAACAATAGAGATTGTTTCAATAACAGAGAAGTTACAGTAAATGAAAATAAAATTAACTGAACTTTAAATTCATATAACATTAATGTTAAGTAGAATATCAAAGTTTATCAAAAATGTTAGTGTTGGCTTGGCAAAATATTGTTTAAAAAAACATGTAGATAGATAGATGTTTTGAAATGAGACCAATAGAAATTTTATATTTCATTTATGTATTTAATCTTATTTATTAAATTAACTTTTTTTTTTTTTTTGGACCGGGTGAATATACACTACATTTCCCAGAATGCATTACCTGTGTTGAATTGCAAATCTGTAAAATTATTTTGCCATCATTCCATTTCAAATGTCAGTTTTAATTTCTTTAGGGCATGGCCAATACAGTTCAAACTCATGAACTGGCAGGATATTAATTATTCACTTTTGAATTTTGCAACAACCCCTTTCTGTACAGAACTAAAAATCATAGAATCATGTCAGTGGTACTTTTTTCACCTTCTAACCTCAATGTTGGGATTAATAGAGTATATGTATTTAATATTGTTGCAAAAAAAAGTTTCCGGGAATTTCTTTGTAGCCATACATATAGGAAATTATTTCTAAGCTTCTTGCAGCATAACCGTTTATAAAGAGCAGCTACTATAAGGAGAGAGATGGAAAGCTAGGGTAGCTCTGAACAGCACTTACCCACACACACCCACATCCCATCATCCAAACAAAGCACTCCACTCACACATCATCTGCAAATGCAAAGGCTCCTCAGTGTGTGGGTTGAGCAAATGGCACCAAGTCACGGTCACACACCAAGCCAAATGCTGTTAAAGCCTTTAAAGTAACACTAGTCAAACAGGGTGTGGGAGGACTGGAACCTTTTCTATGATCCCTGTCTTTGCCTTTAAAATGACCGGTGTCCTCTGACCCCTCTAATTGTAATGTATAAGGACGTCAGTGTTGGGAAGGTTACTTTGGAAATGTAATAGGTTACAGATTACAAGTTACCCTATCTCAAATTTAATAAGTAGTGTAACTATTTCAATTACTTTATTAAAGTAATGTAACTGATTACATTTGATTACTTTTCTAAATTTCTAATGTTTTCAACCAGGCAGCGCTATCCTTACAGTAGAACTCAACACTGATCATTTTCAAAATCCTTTCTCCCTTGAATTAAGATTATAATAATTTAATTTTAAAACACAGCCAGCACAAAATCAGACTTACTTTGAGATCATTCTGAGGTTAAATACAGATTTAAAACCATAACAAGTAATAGTTTAATAGATATGACACTGTTTTTGAAATCTAAATTTTGCGTATCTATGACAGGAAACACTGGCATCTAACAATGGCTGAGAAAAAAACCCAGTTAAACTTAAAAAATAAAGCATATACATAAACCCAAATAGGAAATAAAACAGTTATCAAATAGGAATGTGTCCTATTCTGTGTCCTATAAACTCCTGGAACATTGGTCTCTCATATATTAGTGATGTCTCTGCAATTTCTGAAAGAAATCAATTAAATCTGTATGTGTGTAAAAAAGTTCAAATGAAACCCCCTTTGTAATCGTTAACATTTTCAAAAGTAACTAATTTAATGACACATTTTTTCTCAGTAACTGTAACTGATTACAATTAAATTTATTTTGTAATTAAATTACGTAATTTAGTTACATGTAACTAGTTACTCCTCACTGAACACTGAAGGCCGTGTCCGAAAGTTCACAAGGCACTTTTCTTTATTTTGCCCACTGGGCTATCAAAGTGGTTTTTTGATCTACTGTAGGGGTGATGTAGTATCACAAAAAGGGGAAATTAAAACATGGTTGCACTGGCTTTCATTGATATGGCTTTTCCTTCCATTTGTGTCAAATTGCAGCTGCAGAAGACCTCTCTCCTCTGCACGCCACCACCACTCCTCCAGATTAAATGGACACAGATAAATAGATCCTCTGGATGGAGTGAATATTGCACTGTGCTGAATGAATAATGTATGTACGTGGCTGACATTGCGGGTCTGATTTGTTTTAGATTGAGACAGAACACTGCAAATTCACTCATAATACCTATTGAAGGATTCAGACTCCTGTGATGCTATGAAGAGATGCATAGATGCCTCCTGAGACATTAAAGGAATAGTTCACTTAAAAATTAAAATTAGCTGAAAGTTTACTCACCCCCAGGCCATTTAAGATGTAGATGGGTTTGTTTCTTCATTCCAACAGATATGGAGAAATGTAGCAATTATCTCACTTGCTCACCAGAGATCCTCTGTGATGAATGGGTGCCGTCAGAATGAGAATTCATACAGCTAATAAAAACATCACAATATCCATAATAACGTTTCCTTTAGTCCATCCCCTGTAATTCTCTCACATCAAAAGTCACCATCATATTTATTTGGAACAGTTTAGGACTGTTTTTCGCTTGTTAGCTGTGTTAGGTCTGTGCATATTTCTCCCCTGATACAGATTAGACACCTTTTTCCACTGGAGAAATCAATAATATGGATAGAGGAATCATATTTTAGCTGGAAACAATGGTTTGAAGTTAAAAACATCTTAATGATAGTTTTGTTTATTACAAACATGCAGATTTTCACTTTACATGTTAATTGATGGATTGGAGTCACGTTGTAGGTTGTTGTTTTTATCAGCTGTTTGGATTCTGATTCTGGCGGCACCCATTCACTGCAAAATATCCATTGGTGGGCTGTAATGTGATGTAATGTAATTTCTCTGAATCCATTCATATGAAGAAACTCACCTACATCTTGGATGGCCTGAGGGTAGGTAAATTCTCAGCTAATTATATTTTTTGGGTAAAAAATTCCAGCGTGCATCAAGCAATAGTGAGTGTAAAATGCTATGAAATTTACTTTATTTATCATACACAATGAGTAACTTACCTTGTGTCATAGATTGCAAACAGCTTTTTATTCCCATCCACTGCATTCCTGCAAAACAGAGGGAGGTGATGTTACTATTCCCATCATTCAATGCCCTGTTACTAATTTTAGAATGAACACATTCTGTAAACAATTGTGATGTTTCTAAATCCCAAAAGCATTTTCAAATGTCTTTTAACATCCAATTGTGTTGTTCTGTTAATCTTTGTCATTAAATATCTGTTTATCATGAGCACATACAGTACACACACACACACACACACACAACTAGATCAGGATTATCAGATGCTTGCAGGACACAGGTGGACTGTAGAAGTAACAGCTGCTCTCGTGTGAAAATCTCTGGAGTCCATATCAATGAAGTCAATCAGCAGACAGACAAAAGCACTTAAAAATGAACTAATCCCCAAAACACAACTACAATATCATATTATACTTACACAACAAAACCGTCTGTACAATATTCATGAATCTAGAATAAATCTCGTCCTAACGGATACGTGTCCCCCCCCCCCCCCAAAACACA